ATAACAACACTGTGGAACTCATGGAAAGAAGAAAGTCAGCAACGCAACTGAGGAGAGGAAGAATCTCACGCTTGGCCACAGCAGCGATCATGAATGAAGGACAAGAATCTGGCGACCTACAGCAGCGACGGATCTCCCCGTCACGCACCTCAGAAGACCACTTTCTCACGCTGGCGCAGACAAGAAGAGCAATCGCGAAGCTCTGTGTGTGTGTATGTGCGTGTTTTTTTTTTTTTTTTTTTTTTTTTTTTTTTTTTTTTTTTTTTTACGTTTGCTGATGCCAGACACAAATGAAAAGAAAATGAGAGAAAATCTAGTGTTATGTTTAAGGGGATATTTTGGTAATTTTATGGTGAAAAAAATATCTTCATTGGGACTAACAAGATTTGAACGCATAACCCCAAGGATAAATTACTGGCAAAAAAAATATCTTCATTGGGACTAACAAGATAAATTACTGGCAATCTTTCCACTAGATCACTATTATCTCTTGTCATGCTTAGTCCACAAGTTATAAGAATAACATTAAATGCTATTAATTAATTTTTTTTTAAAGTTTATTACAGTATTTACTTAAATAGTGTACAAAAAATGGTTCAAATCGGAAATGAGATTATATTTGTAAAAATATCTCTCAAGCCAAGAATAATTTTGCAATCAAAAATTATTTTTTCAATGAAAAGTAAAATCATTCACTTAATAAACAAGTTCAACTTTTTTAATTAACAAGATATAATATTTTTTATTTTACTTTCTCTCAGCCTGTTCTATTAAGAGTTGAGTTAACTCGTCCACAAATTCTTCAAGATAGATCGAGCAAGTGACATGATGTCTATTTATCTACCCAACCCCAATTGAAAATGAAAATGTAAGAAAACAAGAGCTTTAAATTTTAGTTAATCTCATTACATGCCAACCTCATCATTATAAATTGAAAATGAAAATGTAAGGAAACAAGAACCTTAAATTTTAGTTAATCTCATTACATGCCAACCTCATCATTATTATCACCCCTCTTCATATCTCTCAATCCTACTAATCGAGTCTGGTTACGCGCTGCTTCATTATCATCCCTTTTCAACTCACCTACTTCTACTTAATTTGAATCATTTACGTCTTTAATTTTGATTGAATATAATACTTCTACTTTTGAACAATCCAAATAGTGCAGGATCATTAAATAAAGATATAAATAATCCAAATGCTCCGACACATAATGAGATTGACTAAAATTTTTAGATTTTTGTTTCCCTACATTTTCATTTTTAATCGATAGTTGGGTAGGCAAGTAGCCACATCACTTAGTCTATCTCGAGGCCTTTGTAGATAAGGCAATTCAACTCTTGGTGGAGCAATATGAAAGAAAGTAGAATATAAAATATTATGTCTTATCAATTAGAAAAAGTTGAGTTCATTCATTAAGTGAACAATTTCACTTTTCATTCAAAAAAATTCTAAATATAAAATTGTTATTGACCTAAACAAATTCTTTATAAATATAAATTTATTTTTGTTTTGAATGATTTTTGATATAGTATTTGGATACATACTTTTTACATTGCAGCATTTAGATAATTTATTTTATTTTTTATAGCTAAAAAAGGCTAAAAAGGGTGATGAGCATGGAACTCTAGTACTACTTGACACCAAAGTTTTTAGAACCAAACTAGTTATTGAATCAAAAAGATGAGTTATTCATGATTCGTATGCTTTAATGGGGTTAGACCAATAGTCAAACCGGTAATGTAATAATTAAATTAAAAAATTATATATATATATATATATATATACAATAATGTAAATATAAGAAATAAATATGAAATTACCATTTAACTTAAAAAATTAAATATTTTAAGTTTATTATAACTTAATAAGCCATATGATACAACATAACATCAAATATTAAAAAAACTAGTCATTTCCTAAAAAAAATCAATAAAAAATAAAAAAAGTTTTTTTTGAATAGTTGGGTTCTTAAAAACTAAATCTGGATCCTGACTTGATTTCGATTCCTGATTCGACTGCCCGTCCAAAACAGCCCAACCCAACTTAATTTCCAGAACAATTTTCATTTATTGATTGAACCAGAATCTAGACTGATTGACAATCCGACCATCCGATCCGATTCAGTTTTAAAATCACTACTACTTGAAACCTGTATCACTTCTTAAAACCAACCCCTTGGTGGATGTTGCGACATACATTCGCACTAGTGATCAGTACAACCTTATATTGTATAATTGCTCTTTTGCAAAAATTGCAATAAATTATTCATTTTAAATTTTAATTATTTCTAATCATGCAGTTAAAAAGGGGAACTTGTAAATGATTTTCATTAAAAAAATTTATAAATAAGTCTCACGAATTTTTAAAAATGTGATTAGACTTGATTATAATTAATTTATCATATAACATGATGCAAATATTTTTGGCTCTAACCAACCATTGGCAATCATTGACCAGTGGCTGGCTATCACTGACAAGTTAAAAAATAAATTTTTAAAATATTTTATTAAATTATTCATGTTTTAATTTAATATTTGCGAGTCAAATATCACAGCTTTATGAGTAAATCTTTAAGATTATCGATTAGATTTTTTTATATTTACAAGTTGACCTCTTACAATATTAATAGGTTAATATTTACATAATGTACAAGTTAAATGTCATATATTTACAAGTTACTCATCTCAATCTACGAGTCTAACTTGTAAATTTGTGAACTTTATTTGTAAATATCAAAGTGTTAATATTAGAAGATTGACTTGGAAATGTGAAGATTTTACTTATAAATTTTAAATATTTACTTTATAATATGTTATGTTTAACTTGTAAACAGTAACGTATTAATATTTTAATGAAAATACTATTAAAGAATTTCTTTGTTTGGTCAACACCAGTCAAAAGGTTGAGAATCTAAAGTTATTTGTGTCATTTTTCATAGCAAAATAAATTACAATTAAGTTTCATAAGATTTGAGCATATTTTCACAAATTCGTTAAACTTGTTTATAGATAAATTTTTTATATGAGATCTATTTGTAAATTTCCTATTAAAAAATTATCACAAAAGGGTCTAATGATTTACCAATATTATTTCCTTATTTTTTTGCAGCATTTTATCCATTTTTAATTGATAACATTTGAGACATGTTATTGTGGATTCTAAAATCTTATTCATTTGCAATCTTAAGTTACTCATCAAATGTTGGGACGTGGTTGCCCCTTTTGAGTTTTGATATTTTTTAAACATCATGACATTTTCCATGCACATAATATATTAAGGATAGAATTATAAATTTTGCAAAAAAAAGATCGAATTACAAAATTTATATATCTTTAAAAAATTTTCATGGAACACATAGTTTTAATTTATACGTCTCAGACTCTTAGCCAGTCTTTTAAATTAAGTTTATTGATCTTAAAAGAACAATCACTTGTTTATTTAAAAAATTGGAAGTTCAAGGGACGACGAACTATACAGTAAAAATTTTCGCTCAAAAGGTATTATTCTTAGCCTTGGGCTATCTTGTTATTGGTGAAATTTTCACGTTTTTTTGACCATGTGAAACTTTCAATGTATTCTCTGGTACCAATCAGTTTATTTTTTTAACTATATTGATTAATCAATCAGTGATATATAAAAACAAGTGTTAGACGGACCTAATGACATTCTTGGTATCACCAGAAACAAAAGTGTGTTCACGTAGATGAATAATTGTTGATGTTTATCGAATACAAAATAAATTAATATGTTGTGAATTAACCAACCAGTTTTTTGCCTTCCTGGCCTGTGAGGCGTAAACCAGAAGAATCACTTGTTTTGGCATTGGCTTGTGTAAGGATAAACTGCACCCATTATTCCCCGCAACCTGTATATCTATTGGATAAACATCTCCCTTTTCACTTTGTCTGTAATATGTCAGCTCTTTCTTAAACAGAAATTATTAAATTTTTTTTTCCCCGACCTTTGAACATCATGTCAGGACATTAGGCTTGCGTAAAGAATAGAGGTATACATATACTACTGCACCCTTAATTCTCAGCAAACCTTTTCATTATATTATTGGATAGACATTCCTCTTTTCAATTTGTCTCTAATCTTTTTCTGGTGGAAACAAAAAAAATCTGTCTCTAATCTTTCGCCTCTTTTTTTTTCCCACAAGAACTCGGACCCACTATCAGATACTATCGATCTGCGGGAATAACTTAATGACGCAGCAACCCTGCAGCAAAGGAAGCGATCATGGATCCTGTTGGCGGCGCCGGCAGGAGACGTAAACGGCAAACTACGAGCTACTTGAGTCATATCCGAAAGGGCACTGTCTTTAAAAACTATTTTGGCACATCGGAACGACAGACCGGCAATTTCTTAGGATTAAACAGGCACTTCCTATGACGGAGCAAGAGAACAGAACAACAGAAACTAAAAAATAAAACAAACGAACACAAGAACAGAAGGAGAGAATTGCCCTGAAAACTTAAGAGGCTGGCACTATTTTCTGTCAGCACCCAAGGGCTATATATAGCCCAAAGATGAAGACACAAAGCTGGCTCATAATCACCAGTTAATGCTTCGGTTACGCACGCATTAAACAGCCTTAAATAGCAAAAACGCACACGTCCATTAATCTGGAGATGTTTGGCAGACAAAACAGGTAAGTTAAAATAATTATTTATTTTTGTAAAAATAACTCAATAAACGCAAAGGAGGGCAAATTGGCTAATTTTAATTACATTACAATTACAATTGTTTTAAATTGACCTATCTTATGTGCATGAGACCAAACTCATTTTACTAACTTATTTCATTTTAGTATATATATATTAAGAGATTCTTTCTTTTAGTCAATGTGGAACTTTGACATACACACTTTTGACACACATACAACAGATCCATGATCCATCCATCCATACTCCCCTAGTCCATGTATACATGTCACACATGCAGACGTTGAAGTCAATAATATTGCTCAAAAGAACTATCTAGGTGGTGAGAAAATGGGTAAAGACTTGGAATCCAGCAAGAAGCAGCTATTTACATTCGCCATGAAAGGGAAATGGGAGGATGTGATTGAACTGTACAAGAAGGAACCGCGGCTTCACAAAGCCAGAATAACGAAGTCGAGAAGCACAGCGTTGCACGTAGCAGTGCGTGATGGGAACGAGGAGGTGGTGGAACAGATGGTGAAGCTAGCTGAAACATGTCCGATACTCTGTAAAGAGGTTTTAGAGACTCAGAATGACAGAAAAAACACTGCTCTGCATGTAGCTGCTTCCATGGGGAATCTCAGAATCTGTCATTTGATTGCGCAGAAACATCCATCCTTAGTCAATGTTCGAAACGTCGACGGCGAGACACCTATCTTCCTGGCGGCTCTTCACGGCCGAAAAGAAGCGTTTCTTTGTCTTCATTACCTTTCTCATCCTAATGGCTCTTCCCCCAATTATGTGAACTGTAGAAGGAACGACGGCAATACATTTCTTCATTGTGCAATTGCTGGGAACTTCTATGGTAATAGAACCTCAATCACCTTCAAATACTGATATATATGATCTTAGACTTCTCTAGTACTGTTCTAACCATTTATAATTATCATGTTACTTATTTTATTTGATTCTATTGTAATATTAATGGCAGATTTGGCATTCCAAATTATTCACCTGTATGAAGATCTAGTGAACGGGGTGAACGAAGAGGGGTTGTCTGCCCTCCATCTGCTTGCAGCGAAGCCTTCTGATTTCAAAAGTGGTAACCGACTTGGGCGATACGAAATGATCATCTATCACTGTAAGTACTGATTAGGCCATATTGTTTGGGGTTAGGAGCCTCTAACATGCCTTTCTCTAATATTATTTATAATGTCCCAACTTTTTCTTTTTCTTTTTATCATTAGCTCCTACATAAAATAACAAACATTTGGATATTTTGATGTTCCAAAATGATGAAGATTTGCATTTTTTATGATTTTTTAAAAATAAAAGGGTGTATTTGTGATATTTTTCTTTAAAAAATCATAAAAATATAAATCTTTACCACTTTGGGATATTAAAATATCGAAATGTCTCTTATTTTATGTAGACATCAATGATTCAAAGAAAAATAAAAAAAAAAATTGAAAAGTTAGAGCATTATAAGAGATATTAGAGAAAGGTACATTAGATTTCCTCGGCCTATATTGTTCGCGGAAGGAAGGCTACTATTATTGATATCTACTGATCTGAGTATCATTTTTCTTCATGTTATTTGCACATGCACATCTCGTTTTATTGTTTGGAAGGTATATTTGTTGAGGAACTCAAGCCAGCTGAGTACAGCTTTCAACAGTCTTTCTCAGATGAAGGCAGGAACCCCAATTGCAATATTCCAGACAATCACAGGACATGGTGCGACTTTTTTGGGGTCGTGAAAACTTCGCTCGCCGTTGGTCTAGATAATTTCTTCCTTATTCTCACTTTTCACATGTATTTCTTTCAAATTATAACTGCATAATGTAGCTTGATAGAAGTACAGTTCACACCCACACGCATGCAGTATTAATTAAAGGCAAAGACAAAAACACAATAACGTCAAGCATTACATTAATTGAATAGAATATGCGTGAATTGTTTTTCCTTTAATTCACTATTTATAGCTGCTTGAGATAGCTTGTGCATTTTCATTCCCAGTAACCAACAAATTTCCAGCGTTTCACTTTTCGAAAGACAACATTTTTTCGAAAGGACAGCCACCAAATGCAGGGGATCCCGAAATGGCAAGAAATAATAACAGCCAAGGTTAGGATTCTTTTGAGTTTTGGCACATTTCTGCTTAACTAGTTTCTAAGAAAGCGAACTTGCTGGGCACAAGATGACAAGAGTATGGACTTGTAATGCCCTCACCACACCAATTCACAATTTACATTACATTTGTCTATGATCAGATTGTAGAGCTCGTCATCAAACGCATCAGTTATATCCAGAAAACTACGAGACCTGCTGTTCATTTTTCAGATTTGTATATCTGGTAGTGACGCTGATTCTTGGCCAAGGTATGCTAATCTATATCATGAACACACTGTGTGTTACTCTGCAATGAGTGGATAGGATAGAAAAAGCATCGATCCTGGGTTTTGTTTGTCCCTTTTACTCTGTTTTTCAGGGGGACACGCGTCTTTAATTTTTTACTCCCATATTAATTAATCCTAAATAACTGCTCATGTATATTTTGTAACGTTCCAGGATCGAGTAGATTAAAAAGAATACGCAGGGAGAAGGAGAAACATGTTTGGTCTCTTCAAATACTGAATGAACTTTGTCATTCTTTGTTGTACGAGTTTGAAGACAGCCATCATGAAATTGATGAAACAGCTTTGTCCGAAGACAGCCATCATGAAAAGGATGAAATATCTTTTTCAGTCGGAGAAATCAAAATAATCAGACCTGGAAACGATAACCAACAACAGCACGGAGGTAAATTTTGAAATTTTATATATTGATAGTATCTTTTAGAAAGTACATTTTCTGTCCCCTGCGGAAGGCCAACTGCAGAGCTGTTCCCCCTGGTCTAATCGAGGGCCATAGGGTGCCTCTTTACACTTGATGCAACTCTCCTGAGAACTCTATACCACTCCCTGATGTTCACCCTAGACGCCAAGAAGCCTTTTGACAAACTCCCTAGAGGTTTATGGCTCCTGCAGCTCTGGAGCCTGGCCTACGTTCCTGCACGAAGCACATCCTCACTGGTTAGCAAGGGATGCCAACAAGGACCCTCTGACCATGTTCCTTTCTCTTGACAACACCTCTCATTTGTGGCGCACCTTACGTTTCCTTGAAACCCATTACTTGCCCACCTGCTTTCAGGAGGCTCTCAAGGACCAAGATTTCTTGCAGCTTCGTGCTACACTATTTTTCTCTTACACTTCCCCGAAACTATTAATCTATTATGGCATCGGCACTGCCAAGCCGATGTTGTATGTGGAGAATTATTTCTCCCAGTTTGGAGGCTCTGGTAGCACGGTGGGCCGAATTGAAAAGCCTTGAAGAACGCCTTTGGAAGGGTTAGTATGGGCATAGTAATTCGTCTAAGAAGAACCCTTGTCTCTTATGTTAAAAGCGGTCATATTGGCCTGCTTGTCCCCTCTGATGGGATGGAGTGTACCATCCTTTGGCAAATTATTGGGCCCTGATGGACTTCTTTGTTCTTGAGGGTTAGGACAAGAATCTTCTCAAGGGTGTTTTGTTGAAGGGTTTCCTCAGTCACTGTGTGGATCATCATGTGAATGGACAACCGATTGCTTAGTGCTTGCATGGTTGTCGTGATGACCTGGCATAGTTCAATATGTCTTCTCTAGTCTCGCTCTTCCTTTTTTGTTTAAAAGAATTCCCACTCCTATGCTTCAATGACTCGAATTCTCTAGCTATTTCTCTTCAGCCATTTCCAACTATTGAGTGCAAAATGCTACTGCCTTATCAGTTTGTTTTTGGTTGCCTCAGTCAGCGCCTCGTGAAGTTCTCGAAGGTTTTCTTGATTTGCTCAACTTGCCGTTCAAAGCTTTTCTGAAGGCCTTTTAGGCTTTGTTCAGAATCTTTTGCCCAGTGACTCGATATGTAAGTTGGATATGGGCTAGTCTAAATCCAAGGGGTTAGATGTCAATTAAGTCAGGAATCCCGCCTCCCTTTCATCCCTGGAACGTGAGTCATGAGTTTTGCGCATTGCACTTGCAACACCATGTTCCAAACCTTGGGGCCTAGTGTGGTCTTTATTATCAAAACCCTTAAAATGTATGTTTCTCAGCATTGTTGTTGACAATCAGGTTCCACTAAGAGTGCCAAAAACTGTGTTAGCTCAATTTTCAGGGAACTAGTTAGAGTGTCACGACTCTTAGTAGGCGTGCCAAGCGTGTCAGAGGAATGTGTCCTCAAAAATGTGAGTTGAATCAAATGATTAAATACGTTCCCAAAGTCCTTTGCCATAATTTTTCTAGAGAGTCAAGTGCATGCAAAAAAAAATAAAGGATAAGCCGTGAGATCTTCAATTAATCATGCACTCATTGCCTACTTATAAAAAAATGACAATGGCGCTCTCCTTTTGAATTTAAGTTTGGCGCCATCAAAAACAAGTAACTATCCATGCCATTTTTGACCAACGGTGCGCCTAGTCGTGTGAAATAGGGAGAGTAAGTGCACTGAAATAAACGGGTAGTGGGGGAAGTAGGCAAGACCACGTTGCAACCTATCTAAAAGTGACATTCCACTCGCCTTTGTGAAACTGGCTTGCCATTTGGGTTAAGTCTAGCCATTCTCCCCTCAAGCCTAGTATGTAAATCAATTGTAAATATTAGTTCAAATAGTTATAAATTTAGAAGTTCTAACTTTAAATAAAACATTTAAAATTTAAATATAACTATTAATTTACAATTGAGATTTATGTTTACAATTATTTAAATCTTTATTCGCAATTTATTTTATAAAAAATTTTATCAGTTACTTAACTGTCATGAATTTCAAATTTCAAGATTTGATTGTTTTTCTAAAATGAAACTCGTCCGGTCTTATATTTAAGACTAAAGAGAGAGTATAATAGGTCACTATATGTGTATTGGGGGACCCAGAGTTTGGATCGTGTCTCTCGTTAATCATGATCAATTAAACCATCACAAATGTGAAGGATATTTATTGCGAGTTTCATCACTCATCAGTGGTATTGAAATATTGCAGCCAAAATGAATCAACAGCAGATTTATAATGTTCCTGTCGATCAAAACAAATAAAACGGTAACTCTGATCTATACCATTATAGTATATATGATCAGGTTTGAATTCGAATAAACTTAGAGCTGTATATTTAATTATTATTGTATCACAAAAAAAGCTACTAGGGGAAGTGTCTATATATATTGATCAATTTGCACCCTGCAGCAAAATATTCATTAAAAAATCAAAAAAGGAAAGGAAAGGAAGAAAGAGATGAGAAACGACAGACAAGAAAAAATCATCTAAAGAGCACCTGAACAATTATCTCTTTCTCTTATTATGGGCAAAATTTAAAGAATCTGAAGGAAAACAAGCAATATCATCAAAGAGAAAAATGAAAAAAGCATATCCTAATTCGGGTGGTCAAACGTTCATTCTCCCTATATATACATAGCAAGCATTTTATATATAATTTTTTTAATTTATGATATATTTATAATCTTGAAAAATGTTATATAAATTTCTAATTAAAAACCATTCAAGTTATATCAATAAGAAATATATATTTATAAAATTAAATTAAATAACTGATAACAAATGTTTACACATCTCCACATAATAAATTTAGTGTGGGTGTAAAAAAATTTTAAAATATAAAAGTTTTGATTGATTAAAATAATGGTTTTGAGGGACGAAAGCAGAATCCACTGATTCCATTATTTATTTTGTTCCCTTTTATTATCTCCCATTTTGGCACTTTTTCTTCTTCATCTGGATTCGATTAATATAATTGATGTTTCAAAACTCCCAAGAATTGGCTGAACTCCTCAAACGCTTGGGCGTGTACAATGGCAAAGCTGATAAATCTGCAAGCAAGGCTTTTAGGGGATGCTGCGTATGCCTATGTGAGAGTTGTGTGTGTGTGTGTTTGTAAGAAAATGGAGTGCAGAAACATACCTCTGTCAACTTTCATGACGGTACCTCTGATAGCGATGCTCGGCCTTTTTTTTCCTCATGGTAACCCGATCATAATAATGAATACAGGTGTTTGATATACAGTAGACACACTGAAACTTTGTTGAGAGAGGAGAGGGAAAGAAGCAGATGAGATAATATTCTTGTTCTCTGCGTGAGTTTTCTAGAGAGTGGGGGAGAAAATGAACGTCTGTTATATCATATTACCCAATATCTACTCATAGATAATGGGTAGTTATTTTATTTAAAACAAATAACCACTCCCTCCAAAATATTCCGGTAACCACCCATAAGATAATAAAAAATAATTATTAATATAAATAATTATTTAACACAATTTGGGTCCCCACTTACTTGGCCCAATTTATCAAAGGTGCAATTCAACAATACTCAATGTGGTTAATTATACATTCAGATTGCACTCTCCACCAAGCTAATTGCATTATAATTTGCAGGGGCCGATGAGAAGAAAAATGGTGAGCCAAAAGAACGAAGGAGAAGGAGAATTGAAACACCATTGCTCGTTGCAGCAAAATATGGAGTGCTGGAAATAGTCAAGAAAATTATGGCTGATATACCAAGCGCCATCCACGATATCAATCACCGTGGCCAAAATGTATTGCATGTGGCTGTAGAGTACAGGCAACCCCATATTTTTAGGCTCCTCAGGCACCAGAGGTTTTGGGACAACCTCCTTGGAGGCGTAGACTTTGATGGCAACACAGTACTGCACTTAGCAGCAAAGTCTGTTGAATCCTTGTCTCTTCCTGGGCTAAGTTATGGCTCTGGTGCCTTGCAGTTGCAACGTCTAATCAAGTGGTACGAGGTATGTGTACACACACACACATACATTAATTCCACTCTCATAAGCACGTACATATATGTTATTACTTTTAACTTGAACTACATGCAGCACGTGAAATCGTTAGTGCCACCTCGTGCGGTTTCCCTTTTAAACAAGAAAGGGGAAACTCCGGGACAAATCTTCATTGGACAACATAAAGAACTTGTCAAAACTAGTGGTGAATGGCTTAATCGCACGTCTGAATCTTGCTCAGTGGTAGCAGCGTTGGTTGTCGGAGTTTCCTTTGCAACATCAAGCACTCTACCCGGCGGTAACGATGACAAGACTGGCAAGCCGACCTTAGATGGACGGCCAGTGTTTGAACTCTTCGCTCTTGCTGCACTTATTGCTCTCTGCTTCTCTGTCGTCGCACTGATCATGTTCCTTTCCATACTTACTTCTCAAAAACAACCCACAGATTTTAAGAAAAAATTGCCAGTCAAGCTTTTTATAGCCTTGAGCTCACTGTTTGTGTCCATTGTCTCCATGTTCGCATCTTTCTGCGCTGCACATTCCTTTGTGCTCGAGGACAAGTTCAATAGAGCAATAATCCCTCTTTATGCTGCCACCTGTCTTCCTGTTTACTTCACAATCGTGGAGTTCCCACTCTACATGGATCTTTTTGAAACCATTGTTAGCGAAGTTCAACGACCATACGATTATGGCTATTTATAAATCTATAGCTGGGGACTGTCCAATGCTTATCCCTGGCCTTCTTTTCTTAAATATTTGCTTCTTCAGTCCAATGCTTAATGCTTGCTATTTGCGCTGGTTTGCCTCAACCTCCCCTTTGACTGTCGTCGTCATCGTCTTCGTCTAATGTTGACGTGTCGATTTGTTTGTAGTAATTAATATGTTGGTGTTGCGTGATTTTATTATATGCAATAAAAGTACTGTTACCCAAAAACAAGATTGTCTGTGATTCCTCGTTGTTTTTAATGTATTCAATGCATAAAATAATTGATTTACAGTTTAATTATTAATTTTGCAAGAGTGTATTATTAAATCTTATTATTAACATACCTACATTTGATTTGATAAAAGTATATAAAATATATGTACCTCTGTCTTCTCCTAAATTCAATGGATTAATTAATTAATTATTATCTCCCTTTAAAAATGTAAGGCATTTTTAACCGAATCTCATCTTCAATAAAGTAGTTACTTATCTTTAAACTAACATTATTTTTTTATATTTATCCCTATTTAATAGAGTGTTTGACTTTAAAATAAATATAAAATAATTTATTCAATAAGGGCACTTTTGAAAGGAAAAAAAAGGTAATGATTATATCTTAAAAGACTAAAAATACCTTATATTTTTGAATGACGGGAGTATATATATTATTTCTTTAAATTTAATATTTGAAAAATGATTAAAAAGATATATTTTAAATGTTCATTTATAAATTATATTTGTTTTACTTAAAATTGAAAGTTTAAAAATAAAACCATTTAAAAAAGAGAAACCATTATAGTGTTAATTGGTAAAATTAAAAAGAGAAAATTACCATGGTCCCCACAATCATTCAAAATACCCAAAGGTTCCATAAAATCTCTAAATAGCTATCAAGTTAGGGACTTAAGAGTGAATAAGATTAAAACAACAATGACTATAATACTCAAGTTATAAGATGCACTGGTGACAACTTAACAATAACTATTCACCATAGGACAAATACTATTAACGAGTGACGTGTCACCAGTAAATGCCTCACTCGTTAATAGTATTTGCCCTATAGTGAATGTTTGTTATTAATTTGTCAACAATGCATCTTATAACATAATGGGTATTCTAGTAATTGTCATTTCAGTCTTTTTTAATTGGGAAAATCACCATGAAGTAAGTCCTCATTATTATTTAAAGTACTCAAAGGACTTACCAAATTTTAAAATATCTATTTGGTCCCTAAAGATTTAAAATCATTATTATCATTTTTTTATATGCAATGGGGCCAAAATGCCCAAACTTTATTTAATTAGTAGTAAATCTAGGGTCAAAATGACCTTTACATCTCGATAAATCCACTCAAAGAGACCTCTAAGAAGATCCTGAATGACTTTACATCCATACTCTTGCCTTAAATCTCATTTAACTAACTAGTCAACACTCCTATTGCATTATCAAAAAACATGCCTTACCAATACCTGCCATTCCTTTGTGATCTTTGTGATAGCATGACAACATTTGCCACTAAGGTACTTCACGATACTCAACCGCTGACAAGTACACATCAACTACTATAGAAAAATCACTCTCAATTATAAGCTTTAGCATATTAAGTTTGTTTGTCACATGGATTCCATATTAAAAGCTCCAAAACTTAGCTTCCTTCACTATGCAGCTACTAAGATTACACACAAATCTACTAAGCCATTTTCCGTCTAAATTTTAAAAAACACCTCTGCAGCTTGCCGTCCCTGGGTTTCCTTTTGTCGCACCGTCAATGTTAAGCTTAACCCAACTTTAAGGAGGCACCTCCCAATATCCTTAATCTAGTCTTTGCTTTGCCTTAGCACAAACATCCATCCTCATACTAGTTTGAATTAAGGAAGAAAAAATGATAATTTTATTACAAAGCCCAACTAGAGCCATAGTATAACATCTTAAGTTTTTCAACTTTACAATTTTAAGTATTTAAGGAAGGTAAATTAATCAAAATAAGAGAATTATGAATTAGTAAGTTTTTGGATCACTAATATGATTTATGGATCTTTCGACAGTCTTGAAAGAGGGTTAGGTAAGAGTTTGAGTGGACTGTGACACAAAAATAGGCCCAAAATGTGTTTGAGCTTGTTTGTGCCATCCCCATGGCGGATGGGAAAAAATCTGGATAAATCAGACTATCGTGCGCATTTGAAGCAGAATAGAAAGAAAGAGAGAAATGCGTGAGGGGTGAGGGAGGGAGCCTTGGGGTCTAGTAGGGCTTGACTCTTGGAGCATTTTGAAGGTATATAGAGCTTGATAATCCCTTGGGTAAGCTTCCTCTCCTTCTTCCCTCCCATTTATGTGAATTTTGGTAGATTTGGTTATGGTTGGGGCTTGATTTTATGTTTCCTTAAGTTTTGACCAAATCCATTACCTTAGTTAATATCTTTGAGAGTTAAATGAATCTTCTAAACCTAGGTTTATAAATTATGTAGTGATTTAAAATTTTTGGTTAGGGTTTAGATGAATCCTAAGTGAAATTTAGGAGTTTTAAAATAATATGGATAATGGATTAGTGTTATTAATGCGTTGGGATGTTAAATGAAATTAATGGAAGGTAGTAGATGTGTTGATGGTGTTAAACTAGGATTTTAAGTATAACTGGTACCCAACATTAGGCTAGAAAGGGATTAATTAGAGTGAAAATTGATGTTAAATATTTAACCTTGTAGATTAAATATTAATTAGGCATTCATATACTAGTGGACCTTGTGGAGCTAAGTTTGAGCACGGTAACCTAAGGCAATCAAATTTTCTAAACTCTCTATTTGTGTGTTTGGGTAGTTATGTGGTAATTATGAAAGTAACTATTATTGTTTTAGACTGGTATAGTATTAATAAAAAAATAATTATAATTTAGAAATTTATGTGAAAAGGAATGGATAATTATGCTTTTCATATCTATGGTTTTGAAAGTTTTATGCTAAATACTATGTTCATGCATATGTATTTGTGAAATTGTATAATTTATAATGGAAATGATTATTTGAGTATAATTTATATGTTTATAGCTATGTGTGGAATTGTTGAGTATATGTTTGGTATAATCATTATAAGAGGGTGAAAGTTCACCCTAGTGTTGTTATTCGGGAATATTATTTGAAAATCCATATGGCACATGCACCTTTGGCCAGGGTTGCCTCCCATGAGTGGTGAGCTTGAGCCTATACAGTCACATAAATTTGGTTATATCAAATTGTCAACCCACAAATTCAGTCAAAGGATATAAGGAGATGTATTGATCATGCATTGTAAAATCATGTGTGAATGTAACGTGATATATTTGGCGTATATATTTAAACTCCCCTTCACATACTCACTATCTATTCCCACATACTAGTAGTTTATTTAGATTATTTAGTTTCGACTCACCCTATAGTTATGTTTTATAGGTGAAGGCTCCAATAGAGGCAAAGAGAACAGAAGTGCCATTAAGATCAGAGAAGCTTGAGTTTGTATATCTCTCTTTTTATCATTTTGTAATTGTAATAAATGAATGTTTATGCCAATTTAGGATCATGTTTTGCTATAAGGATTACTTGCATGAGGAATGATTGTAATTATGGGTATCTTAACCTAAGAGACAATAACTGTGATGAATTTATAGTGAGAGGTTGAGATACTAGTACAAGTACTGTTTTTGTGTTCTTATGTGTTGTAATGGCCAAAATGATGTCTAATGTGAACTATTATCACCCTTTCAATTCATTATGAAATTAGGGTTTTATCGGCCAATTTGTGTTAGGATTGTTTTGGTTATTTTATATTTGGTCTATCAAGTTTTTTGTGATTTATTTAAATTAGTTCAAGTAGTTCTATGGTTATTGGCACTTGCTTTATAGGTTTGGACACCCTTGTGGTTGTTTTGAAAAAAAAAATAACCAATTTGTGTTTAGGCGTCCAACTTTTAAATGGTTGAGCATTTAGGTGTGAGACCAATGTCAATAACTAGATGACTCTAAGAGCTACGTGTTGACACTTGAATTGTTCAAATCGAACATTAGATGGCAAAATGGTGTACTCTAAAAATTGGCTAGAGAAGTTGTGATGACAACAGAACTGTCATAACAATAGGAGTGCGCCACGACGCACTGCACTAAGAGGGACATAGTTCCTCTGTGCCATCTGCAGTGGTGGACAAGGCAATTTTTAGAATTTTCTAGAATGGCTATTTAATGTGTTTAAGAGCTGTAATTATTTTTTATGCTTCCGCTACCTTGTTTAACTTAATTTAAGGCATGGTTTGAGCTTAAATATTTTTTCAAAATGAGTTTTCTACGGATCTCAATCCTTTCAGATAATTTTATAAACTCTTGTGTTATGACAACCTTATTTAAAGAATAAGGTGTCTTATGTCTTATGTTCTATGTGTTTGGTAATATCAGGGCTGACATTATAATTTAGTAGACATTATAATTTAGTATCAATTTCACACGTTCTGAGATTGGTATACTGTAATTCATGTGTTAGATTGTCTTATGTGTTGCATTCATAAGTAAAAGTTGGCATATATATTCATTACACTTACCTTCCTTTTATATAGTCATTTAACTTGTCCACTTACTCTTTTTGTGATTGCTTTCATCCTTAAAAGGGGAGAAAAGATGACAAGAAGATGATCTGTCAAAACTGCTATTGGTGGTAACTCATCCAACATGGATGTGGTACTAGAGATAAATGAGATTTCACTAAGAACCATAATCCCATCGGTTGGAATTTGGAGCAATTAAGGAATGAACCGCAGGGTAATAAGGCTCTATTGTTGAAAATGAGAGATTTGATGAGAGTAATTTGCAGCACCATGAAGGGACAAGGTGTACCAAGGAATGAAAGACCAAGAGGTGACAGTAGGACCATTGAGAACGAGGAAGATATGTATGAAGAAGAGGATGAAGCGTATGAGGAAAGTACACTCAAGCAATCTGGGGTTATGGGTGGTAACAACACGCAGTATTCCATAGACCAAGCTTAGAAGATTAAAAGAATTTCTATTCAATTAATCACATAAATTGAAATACTTTAAATTTAAAATTTCATAAATTTAAATTTAAAGAAGCTTAATGTTAAAGTTTATTAAGAAATTTATTGTTTACTGTTGCATAAGATCAAAAAAGTGCTAATTTTATTATTCACTATCAAGTTAATCAAATTTGAATCTTACCTTCAAATAAATAGTAAGAGTTATAGGCCTAGACAATTAGCCTACTTGTCAAGAGTATCTTTATCTAAACACCTTTGTTCATTAGCTTCATTTGGTGAGGATAAGGTTGTTAAGAATCCACTTGTTAAAATAAATCAATTCATGAAATAAATGAAAAATGTTGATAAACATATTAAAAGGGATAATAAT